TAGAAACACAAGTATATAGAAAATCAACGCACACAGATCAAATACTCAACTATACTAAAAGTAATCCAATTACTCACAACAGAAACTGTGTGCAGACATTGTTCAAAAGAGTTCAAACACATTGTAGCACTCCAGAGATGAAAAGAATGGAAGAAAAATACTTACAAACGGTCTTCAAAAAGAATGGTTATCGACAAAATTTCATCAAAAAGTGTTTAAAGTCGAATCAAAACACCAACAAGGAACCATCATCAAAGTCCACAAGAAAATTCATCCTACCATACATGAGAAATATCTCTGAAATAACAGCTAGAATACTGAAACCGTTTGATATAGATATAGCACACAAGCCAGTCAAATCGCTTAATTCAATATTATGCAAACCGAAAGATCCAACAGAAAAAGGAGATAAAATTATTACCATTTACAAAATAAATTGTATGAACTGTAACAAGGATTACATCGGCCAAAGTGGCCTACCCCTTCGAATTAGAATCCAACAACCCAAATCAGCCGTGAGAAGACACGATATGTATTCTTTAGTATCAATGCATATAGACAATTATGGACATCAATTTGATTGAGATAATGTCGAAGTCTTAGACAGAGGAAACACCAAAAGTGCCAGGGAATTCCTAGAAGCCTGGTACTCAAACGAAAATGCAATTAACAAACACGTTAATATAGACGAAATATACCAACTAATAAAAAGTAAATCAGGTGACCAGAAAGTTTAAAATCAAAGTCAATAGAAAATGGTCACTACATATGTAAAGATGGTTACCGGGAGACGCAATTATATCACTCATGAAGAAATTTAAATCATTTCACTTAATGCTAAATATTGCGTTGAGGATGTTGTCCAGAAGGACGACGAAAGCTCGGCAACTAAACCAACCAGCTCAGAGAACACTATTAATTGCAAATCATCCACCTGAGCTACAAATCTTCTCTGTTACACATGAGTTCTACCAATTCCGGATTTTAGCCAGACCATCATCCAGATGGACCCCATTAGTCACGCACTGTCACTAGATTTACGTGGAATTTCGTGCTATATCCAGTCACTAGCGAACATTATATCAATTTCAAACAGTTAATTTTTTAGGGACTCAAATGCCAGTGGGGGTGTAGTGTAGACGATTCCGAGGCTAGAACCAAACATCTGTCTAGTACCCCTCCCCCCCACTTATTTTCCACACTTCTCTCACTGATAACAATCCGTTATCAAACACGAAACAACTAACACACAGAGAACTCAAGTGAACAAAATGACTACACCTTATTTACACGTGATAACATTTTTAAGTCATTTGACATAGCGAAAAAACTAAAGAGTTAAGACAACTGGGGCAGGTAAAACACTATGAATGGTACATATGACATTACGCAACATAAATGAACAAATTACAAGGTTGAAGAATGAATTCATCCAAGTAAATAAGTGAAAATTACTAGGGAACTGGAAATTAAAGAAAAAACATGGTACTTATGATGTAACAAAATTGAAAAACAAAACTCAATACCTATTCAGGCTAGTTTTTATTTCTGCATGGACAGTTACAACTAAACTTTCGTATAGCGTAGAGTCTGTCCCACAAGACTCAGATTATTCCGATTACTGCTTTTTCTCTAAAAAACAACCTTACTGCGTCATCACTATTACATTCTAGTTTCACTCCTACCCCTTACCCCCCTAATATCGCAATTTCTACCCACTACATTGAATTCGTTCTTGAGCCTTCTAATTTATTCATCTGTTGACGTAATACCTAATTCACTAACTTAACTACCATTTTTTCTCCACGACTAGTGAGTGGACTTGCGACTATATCACGTGTGAATTACAACTAATTGTCTCAGTTCTTCCAGTTACACTGGGAATTCGGTCACTAAGCTTACAGACTGGCCAGCACAGTGTGCTTTGAGCTGGTGTCAGATGGTTGAGAGTAATCATCAGGAAGCCTTAAAAAGAATTCATGCTTGTTGGCATTCGTCAGAAACACGTACCTGCTGAAGTGCCTGAAGCCAGCATGAAAACGCTAACGAGTAATTCTTGATTTTACAATGATTCTAACCTAGAGGGAAGAGACATCTCTGAGATTCGAACTTGAGTCATAGGTTATCATCAATGGATTGTTCGGGCTCCTGTAATTTCACTCACTTTAATACTTATTGTTAATGTTTTTATGTGTTTTTGTCAAGCCTAAGTGGCCTTATATTCATAAAATCAAACGCAAAATTTACAAATTAATCCACGATTTTGCAATTTACACGGTTAGAGGACGTTGAAACTTAATCACGGTTTCCATTGGAAACCGACATTATTCAGATCAAAGTATAAATGCCTACTTTTTGACTACTATTTAGAGTGTCAAGCAGATCACAATTCGTGATGTGAATCATCTCGATTTCTGAAGGCGACTGTAGTGACATTTCACCTGCTTGAACTGTGTAAAGTGCAAATTTGGTTTATGGCATTACAAGTTCACCCAAATAGCCAGCAAGAATCTGAATGGTTTGAGCTGGTTCGGCCCTCTGAGTCGAGTCAAACCGAGTACACTGAAACTTCGCTTGCTTCTTCTTAAACCCGTGAAAATTTCTCAGTCACCTGAAGCCGTTCGCTTAGAAACGCAGTAGAATCACATTAAATGCTGTCGCTGTACTCCATCCACCACAATATTGTTTCAAGAATTGATAAAGGCGCAAAGTGTTTTTGCAAGCCTCTTTTTCAGATTACACTGCTGATTTTGACTCTATTCTCAGGGCCCTTTTACTAAGCAAGCTGGTTCAAGCAAACACTGAATCCTGGGTCACAAGGTGGCTGTATTCTTATTTTTCTGGTAAAAACCAACATATCGTTTTGAATCGAAAGAGCTCCCCGTCGCTGATAACTGAAACTGGTATGTCTCATTACGCTGTACTCTCTCCATTCCTTTTTCCCTTCTTCCTGTCATCTTGCATGACCTTCCATGGTCTTCCAAAGCTAATTTCACTAAATATGCCGATGATCTCGCTACTTCTGTCACAGTAGTTTCTGCATTGGATTGTTCTAATATGCGAACAGATTCCTGCCTGAAGTTAACAAATGATCTCATCTAAATGGTCTTAAACTAAATCCAGCTAAATCTCATATTGTTGATTTTAGTTTCATATGTGAGCAAGACTGGCGTACGTGGACCGATTCAATCGCATGATTCCTTTAATACTGACGACACTATGATAGATAGGCAGTAATCGAATATCTGTCATTCTGGCAGCAGTTTCTCTTCAAATCTCCTCTGTTGGTCGTCTCATATTCTGTTAATTTCTAAGAAAATTTTTCCTTTGACTTATTGCATAAAGAAGTTGAGACTTTCTGCTGGTATAACTCAAACGTTTCTCTTACAATTTGTTAATTCATGTATTCTACCCGTTCACCTTCTTTATTGTTCCCCCAATTATTCTTCCCTGGTCTTCTCAAAAAAGACTATGCCACATTACGTAGAACACTGAAGACTGTAAGTGAGGCTAGTGGTGTTACTTTGATTCAGCTAACTGACATTATTGTCAATAGACACTTCAATTATTGCAAGCATTTGGCTAACGCTATCTTGTCTGGTAATGAACATCCTCTCTATTCTCAACTTTTGCCTTGTATATCTTCAGGTAAACCCAGAAAAGCCTGATAAGAATTTACGCTTGTAAAATTACTGAATATAAAAATTCTACCATACCACTGTATTTAGCATAGGTTTTGTGTGTATGAAGAGGTAAATGTCAGAAAATAGCCAGCTTATAGACTTTTTAAATCAGTAACTGAAGTGCAAAGTAGAAGCAAAGATTCTTTTTATCATCATTACATGTGCTATCTATGATACTATCTACTTATACTTTATTATGTTTCCATTAACAATCTGTTTATAGTGGTTCCATTATTAATATTATTATTATCATTACTATTTTGAATTTTATGCATATACATATTTATAAAAGGAGCTAAATTGCTGCAATATATATAAAAACGCTGAAAATTCCATTCTGTGTAATTATTGTTTGAAATAAAGTGATTATTATCATTAGTTCGATCTCGAACGGGAGAACCGGTCATCTGTTGTGTAGGTCATTTTTATCTGGTTATCAAGCACCGCTGGTTGATATAAGTGGTGTATTCCGAGTGTAACATACACCTTGGATTGCACATCCTCACTTTGTCCTGTTCTCTGCAGCCTAGTTTAGCTGGCCCAACGAATACCTGCAGGCTCTCATCCAATGCTCACACAATCTTCTCCATGTCATCCTCAGACTTATGTTCAACTGGTGGTTTCCCATCAAGGTTCCACTCGAGGACAAGGCATGCAGTGCCCATCAGCAGTTTCCTCAGTGTACGTTTTCAGTATGCAGCGAAGTGGATAGCTGCTGATAAACGTCCACAGACATTTGGAAATACTTTTGATGACGTGCATGCCACGTTTCTGATCCATATAGAAGAACTAACCTAATATTGGTGTTGAAAATCCAAGTTCTGTTCCCTATGCTAAGCGCAGAAAATTTCGCCTTTTTCAATTTCGGTTTTGAGATCGTCATCCGTGCTGTAGTCTGCAGTTGAGACGCTGCTTCCTAGATGAGTGAAGGACGTAATCCCATTCAAATTTCTCCCGCTGATGGTATTTGGTGCTTATTGTATTTGGTTGGTTATCTTCATCTCCTCTGTTTTTTTTCTATGTTCAGTTGAAGTCCTGTCTTCACTGATCACCTATCTCTTCTACTAACTTGTTGGTTTTCGCCTGTAAGTCTTCGACTTTGTGTGACATTAGACATAAGAGTGGTACACAACTACTTATTTCAACCAGTCAGTAGTATGTGGCATCATGTATCTTATCTAACAGATAAACCTTGGAATCCCAAATGTAGACTACTGGATCATTCAAGCAAAGTTCAGACGTACAAACCGTTTTGTGATCAACTACACCCATTACCTCATAGAATACCGATTAGAGACAAAAATCACAATCACATACCTGATTAAAGAATTCCGCCAATAGTCGATTTATCCATGGACCAGCAACACTAAGAGGACGTGCTTCATTTGAAATGTCAGATATTTTCAAGATTATCATCATAACAAGATCTTTATGTGTTTTATTTGTAACCCAAGCGGGTTTTTTACTGCTGGCATCAATTTCCCAGGCAGCTTGTAGATCACTTACAACAAGACGATTGAATTCATCGAGTATTTCATTGTGACGTGACATGTCTGTTGCTAAAATACATCTGAAACAAGAGACAAAAACATCACTGAATAGTCTTTGATTATATAATGTGAATAGGAAAAGAAAGGGGAATTTTGTTGAAAAACATTTGAGAATATTAATAATATCTGGAGACTATTATTACGAAATAATAGAGAAGGTTTGTAGCTTAGGTGGATGATTTAGAATAAGTTGTGTTCTCTGAGGTGCTGGTTGATTTAGTTGAGAAGCTTTCGTCGCCCTTCTGGACAACATCCCCCTTCAGCGCAAGTTTTAGCATACTTTTAACATTTTTTCCTTCACGTTCCCCAGTGGAACATAGGGCTTCAAGCTAGTGGCTTGAAGTTTCTGTAGCAGTGTTTATTTTCACAGGATGGGGTTGCTAGCCTCATGCCCAACCTTTCCTCTTTACCAGCATTATTTCTGGCTTAGCGAGGTGAAGGAATGCGTCGGCCGGACCATGTGCATGGTCGGCGAGCGTCCTAACCGTTATATCACCGACGCACTAAGTTTTAGCATAAACTGAACTGATTTGAATTCTTCATGAGTGAAAGAATTATGTCTCCTGTCAACAATCTTCGTAACTGGTAGTCGATTTACATCCGTAGTGATGATTTTTTGTTGGGTTGGAATTTGAACTTTCTTGTCACGTGGTTTAAATTTTATCACTTGGTAAATTTGGTCGATAATTATGTGTTTGTTAATCGCTGGCTGATTCACTTGAGTACCAGGCTTCTAGGAATTCTCTGGATCTTTTGGTGTGTCCTGTATTTAAAATTTCAACATCATCCGAATCATCAAATTGGTGTCCATAATTATCTACAGACATTGATATAAAAGAATATATGTCTTGCTTTTTCCAACCAGTTTGTGTTCTTGTATTCTGATTCGAAGGGGTCGCCCACTCTGATCAATGTATTGTCTGTTACAGTTCATACAATTTGTTTTGTAACTGGCATTAATTTTATCTTCTTTTTCTGTTGAATGGGTCTTTCGGTTTGCACATTATCGAATGAAGTGATTGTGCTGGCTGGCTGGCTTGTGTGCTATATCTATTTCAAATGGTTTTAATATTCTAGCTGCTATTTCAGAGATATTTTTTACATACGGTAGAGTGAATTTTCTTGTAGTCTTTGATGATGGTTTCTTGTTGGTGTTGTGACTCGATTTCAAACACTTTTTGATGAAATTGTAAGGATATGCATTCTTCTGAAACAATTTAACGTTTAATGAACGTGTAACCTTTCAAACAACATTTATTGTTCATAAGTCAGAGTATCACTCGAATTCGCATAGAAAAACTATATAATTGGTGGATAATTCTTATGCAGATATTCATGAAAATAAAAAAACACAGTGTTCAGTAAAGAATCGGAAAATGAACAAGGAGAATTAGCTATGATGTTAAATTGTAAAATAAAACGAATAGAAGAAGGTAAACAGCACACTAGCGTTTATAAAAAGCCAACGCATTCTGCCAATAGATATTTAGACTTTAATTCATCTCATCCGTTGTCTGTAAAGGCTGGCTCAGTTAAGTGTCTAACAAACCGAGCAGTAGCATTAAGTAGTACAAGAAATGACCCAAATGATGAAATGAAACAGACATAAGAAGAAGAGTTGGTGTCAAATGACTAACTCTCCTATAAAACTCATTAAGAATATCAAAAAAGATCAAAAGCATAATAAAAATAATGGCGAAACTGATAATGATAACGTAGATAAGAGAAAATGTAAGGAATCTACAGTTCTACCATATAAGGAGGGGACATCTGAGGCCCTATATAGCACTCCCAACAAAGCAGGAATTAGGATGACATGCAAACCTACAAACTCACTCACACAGGACAAGCCCTGTAGGCTAACGGACCGCGTGAACCCAATTAAACAAAATAATATCATTTACAAAATACCTTGCAATGACTGCTAGTTAGGTCAACTACATAGGTCAAACTAGTTAGTCGGGAGTAGTCAGATTGTCGGAACATAAGAATTTAGCTAACGTAAGAAGATAAGTAATTTAGAAAACAGCTCAGTGATTTCACTGCATCCATTAACACACAACCACACAATAGGGTGGGAGAGGGCTAAGATTCTGAGAAGTAATATAGAAGTATGTGGAGAGGGAGAGAGATTGATTACTGAATCCTGGTTCATTGAGTCTACACCCAACACAACACATGCAACAGAAATGACTCAATGCAAATACCAGAAATATGCGTGGAAGATATTATCACCACCAGTCAGTCAAATCAGAGGTGGAAAATAAATAATCTTAAAATTCTATTTCAATTCACGTAAATCATAACATTGTAACAAGTTATTTATTTTGACTATAAAATCACTCGTCTTATTTCCCATCCGATTGTGCTTGACTGATAACACTCATATTATTATTTCTGAATGTACATTATCCTATATTGATTTTTATTCAAATGTCTATTCATCAATTCCACTCATGTATATAAATGAAGTGAAAAGTTGTGTGAGGGAGTGACTTGATATGGTTATGAGCAATAGTTTGTGCTCGGAACGTGGTCATCAGTTAATATTACTGTACAACACTGTGTGATTTATCAGAATAAAATCTTATCCATAATGGAGTTATAGTGCGTCGGTGGCATAGCGGTTAGGACGCTCGCCGACCGTGCACATGGTCCGCGGTTCAATTCCCGGCCGGTGCACTCCTTTACCTTGCTAAGCCAGAAATAATGCTGGTGAAGAGGAAAGGTTGGGCATGGGGCTAGCAACCCAATCCCGTAAAATGAACACAGCTAAAGAAATTCAAGCCACTAGGTTGAAGCCCTATGTTCCACTGAAAAACGTGAAAGAAAAAAATAATGATGGAGCTATACTCTACCACAGTGCCTGAGTTTTATACTTGTATCAGTAGTTCAGCAAAGATGTTATTTTCGACAAATTCACTCATTCATTTTCCTCTTCAGCTATACAATCTCATTTATGTAGAGTTCTTTTCATGGAACACAGTAGTAACAAACTTGATGCGTTGTCACAACCATACTTGTTAGTATTAGTCAATGCATAGGAGAACTTGAATTAGCGTGAATAATTTAATGAATGAGTTGTAATCAGGATAAACATAGAAAAGAAGGCACTATATGAAATTATGTAAGAGTAGCTCTAAAGAAATACAAGAGTAATTAGAAAAACAAACGAGCCAAAATCAATTTCGTGGAAACCAATAAATTTGTTACCATGATAGCAGAAGTGGTCAAATACTTTTGCGTGCATAGCTCCGGTTTCTTTAACAGAATGGCTAGAGTTTCATCAATACAAAGGAGATGGAAGCATGTTACCTTTGGTAGATTGCCCCTCACTTCGTAGACTACTTTGAAGGAGGCGTTTGTTGAGATGGAATGACCAGTGTTGACAAGGCTCTCGATTTCCGCACACCTTATAGAGCCACCACTAAGTTTCTGCAGCCATGCGCGACAGTGTTGTTCTTGAATCCTTTAAGACAGGATACGCATCGAATGACCAACATACCTGGCTCCACAACAACAGGTGAAATGATATATACACACATAGAAGTGGTCAGATGAGAGATTTTAGCCTTAAGGCATCTGATCACCATGGATGACCGGAGAACACTACTCTTAGCGTTTCTGCGAAGAATGTTCTCCTCAAAAATGATGAAATTTTTCTCTTAAAGATATCACAATTCAAGTCTCCCTTGAAATCCAGGTTCATGTAAAGTTTCTTTTTGGAACCAGTAAAGTTTCATTTCTCTGAACATTTGATCTGCATCTTGGTGGATATTCAGTTTGTTGTGTCTGGACTTCAGATGAGTCGGATCCGAATGGCAAGGAATTTAATTAAATTTCAGTTTCGTTCAACAGGTACCCAACTGTAGGAACTTGTTATTTGACGGTTCCAAGTGGATTCCCCACGGACTGACCTCCTTAAGAAGGGATATGAGTTTCTTTAGGGTTGCAGACACGCTCTGCTGACGAGTGCAAACTAGCACGAAACCTAGGTTCAAGGCTTCCTGCCGATTGTCTCCAACTATGTAAAACCAACAATTCACAGTGCACCATGACGGCCAGCCATCTAGCACTGTGGCCACATTGAAAACTTGACTGACAGAATTCAGTCTGCACCAAACAAAAGACTAGACACACTACAATGGTAACTGACTAGTGCCTAGTCATTAGACCAGAATTTACAAAATCACAGCTTATAAACAGTAACTTAATTAATCATCGTTCTTCAACATGGGGTAATTTTTACGTCGTCAAGTTGGTCAATTGGTAAAGATAACAAAATCAGGTGTAGATTGTTGGATTTCATATGAGTATAAAATCAAAATAAGCACCACGAGTTTACATAATGAAATTGCTTATCACATTCGTTTTGATTTTGTCACTTCATAGGGAGAAGGGCAGTCCATTATTCCTATTCAGACAATTTGGATTCCATTTGATATGAAATGCTTCTGATGATATTAGACATTCTTTGTGATTTCTGAAATATTTCTGGATGATTTTAATACTGTCAAAATCAGTTTTGTGGTCTGATTCTATAATGTGTGTGTGGACATATGGCTGATGATTTTTCAAGCTTTTCTAGTCTAGAGTATTATCAGTTTCTCATAATTTCATACGCCTATTAAATCCAACAATCTACACATGGTTTTGTTATCTTTAACAATTGGCCAAGTTAACAACAGGAGTGAAATTACCTCATGCTGAAGAACGATGACTCATTAAGTTACTGTATATAAACTGAGAGTTTGTAAATTCTGGTCTGATGATGTTTTAATAAAGTTACTAGTGGTTTTAAGTAGTGAAACGTCAGCAAAAACAACAGTATCGTTTTGTTTTTCATTCATCGGGAAGTATAAAAAACCTTTATAATAATGAATATCATATACCCAATGTCCAAATTTTTTTCAAATTGTTAAAAATGAACCTGTTTTGGGCATATATGGCTAATCGATTGCCACTTAGAGTTAGCCTGTTATATGTTTGTGGCCTAAATTCAGAAGCCTCTCAGATGTCTTCTTATTTAGGCTAGTCTGTGTTTGGGGGGCGGAACGGTAACGAGTTATTGACGAAAACATGTTATTCTTAATGATGCGTACCTATCAAAGAACGGTTCTGCTCTCTCTCTCTCTCTTTTAAACAACTTCATATAAATGTGATTGATTGTTTCCCGTTTCGGGTAAGTGATTTTCCACTGATGGGTATTTTTCCAGTAAACACTTTCCGTCATACTGTGACGAAATGATTGTTATGGTTGAATTGTTGCGCACAACAAAACAGTAAGCATAGTCCACAATAATGTTTTCTCTTGAGACGATGTCTAATTATTTTTTGCATATCTACATAAACTATTATTATTATTATTATTGGTTACAGGATTTCATCATGAGCTGACATTGGTTAGAGAACCATTGGAAAACCATCACGGAGTACAGCTGTTTCGTCAGCCTAGTTTGGGACTCTTCAGCAGTACGCACCCACCGCCATGGTTCGAACCCAGGACCTTCCGCCTACAAGGTGAGCTCGTAGACCACTGGGACCCTATCCAACGGCCAGCCCATGAATTCTAACTTCTGCCAATTCACGACAGAGCGCGACGCCTAGCCAATGTCTTCGGCGAGTATTTGTCCTCACACCCGACCTGCTGCACCCTACTGGTCACGACTTCCCACTAGAACCCCAGGTAACTACCTACCTGAATAGGGCCAGTCGCCAGTGAGCATCTCATCGATATTCAAGTACTGGTTATTATTATTGTTATTATTAGCATCAGAACAAAATGATTTTGAACGAACAACTGTTCTCGATAACTTCTTCCTCGGGCTTTACAGTTATAAATCCATCAATATTAGCAGACAAATAGTCATTAAAGGCACGTGAAAATTATGTGAGAAACTGTATTGTGAGGTACATGTATAATATGGAGTGACAGTTCGTTACTTATTATTATCAAATGAACCTTGTATAAGGTGTTCAGTCATCCAGAACATAAGATAAAGTGTGAATAGACAAAAGGATCACATACTAATGTATTTATATTCAGGAGAATATGGGTTCCATTGGGGGTAAGGGATGGGGATGCAGGTGAATTATATTCAACGGTGTGCAAGGGAAATGATTACCACAAAATACATACAAACAAATACCAAATACAATGGGGAACACTGAATGTATTATATTCAATTTTGGATTTTCCTATCGATTGATTGGAGTGAGGTGCTCCGTCTCAGGTTGACTTAAAAGTCGTCCTAACACTGAATGTAATATATCAAGTGTAGTAATAAAATAAAATGAAGAGGTTAAATTTTGAAGTGTAACAAAGTACTGGAGGCATGATAAGCTTATTGTAAATTACAAAGGTTGACACACAATAAGGATAATATTGGAGTGAAGTAAACTAGCTGAAAAGGAATTAGAAAGGCATAATATGACATGAAAATGTGAGATAATTACGTCCCTGATGACTTTATAGTAGACCAGGGTAGACAAGAACGATGAATGTACTTTTTCTGCATTAATAGGTCAGCTTCAGCTACAGCTTTTGTTTTATTCCTTTACATTCCCAGTGGAACGGTGATTATTTTTACAGGATGGGGTTGCTAGCCTCATGCCCGACCGGGGATCGAACCCCGGACCACCTGCGTGGTTGGCGAGCACTGTACCACTGTGCCACCGACGCACAAAGCGGACTGCATTGGCTCTAGCTAAGAGATGTAATTGAGTGTCCTGAAGCAGACTGTTTAGTACTCGATACACACCCTTAAATGACTCATCGTTATCCACTAGATATAAAATGGCACTGTTTATTGATTTGTGACGCCTTTTCGAAACCAGACAGGAATATGTCCATGAGTTCGACCTAAATAACTGGCTGCACATGAGCAGTCGAATTTGTATACACACACAGTAATGTGGCCGTCTTTGATGATTTAAGTCTACCTTGATATTCTTTTCCCCAAGTGAAGTTAGCACTGAGAAATAAGACGTTATTCCACTTGGTTACTCTCACCAGATCGGGTCCCAGTGCCTGAACAGTCTGTGACCCCGTCTTGGAACCGGAAAGTCCTGGGTTCGAACCCCGGTCGCGGCGTACTACTGAAGAGTCCCAAACCAGGAAACGACAGTAGTCAACTACTATCTGGTCTTCCAGTGGCTTTGGGACTGATGTCGTCTCGTGGTCAAACGTGTAACTTATCGAATCCCTGCAAATCAATCCTTGATAACACCACAAGTATGAAAAAGCTAACAGACTAGTGTGAGAAATAGGCACTTCCTCAATCCAAAAAAGTGCTAACACGTGATGAGATACCCTCAGTTGTAATATGTCACAGAATAGAAGTTAAAGATACAATTTATTTGAAAATAACGAGACTTAACAATGATGATGAAATATTATGGATAACAAAACAGTCAACCGTACCTTATCATTCCTTTACGAATCCGTTGACGGACATTAAGTGGAAGATGGGCAAAAGGATCAACTTCTGCATGACTTAATAAGTCGAATGCCACAGCTGAATGATGATTTTCCAATGGACTTTGATCGTTATATCGCATAGCTAATACAGTTCCAGCATTGATCTGAATAGTAAAAGTAAATAAATAAAACAAAAGCATATGCCAATAAAGATAGAAACTACAAAATCATTCGATTACAAGACGAAAATAACATTTTACAAGGGAAGTGAGAATATAACTGATAATACAAGTAAATCCATGAGTACACAAGTTATACATTTTTATATAATCTTAAAATGACTCAATTTATTATTTTTCTCTCAAATTAGAAAAGGGTTACTCGAAACACAAGCGACCTAAGTAAACGGCCGTCATAATGACCTTGGTCAACCAGTTAGATGAGCCCATTATGAATTCACGGAAACATGGATACCAGTATTGCAGTACTGTCGGGATAATGAATATCTGCTAAGCAATAAAACAAGTGGATATGCCGGCGTAATGTCTTTGCAGAGATATGCAGCCGTTGTTTATGAATATATACATACGTATGTCCAGATCGTTGTCGCAGAAAATCTGTTCAAGTAGGTATATTGTTCCTCTTTTATTTTCATGAGTGCCGTAGAGCAGTGAATGGTTCATGAAACAGTATGATAGATATACAGTTATCTGAATGAATTTATGTACAGAAATTGGTTTACACTATCACTGAAGACTTCAGTAAGGAATTGAAAGACATTCTTGGAACACATACGAGAACGTTTCTCTATATAACTATTTTCTAATACTTACTTTGATTTCTCGAGAAAAAAAATTGGCGGATGAATACTGATCAGGGTCATTACGAGGGTGATTTATCATTCAAAAGTGTTCACCACCTACCTACTTCAAGACCTCTATTTATGCCATACTGTAGTGTCCTCAATGCAAGAAGACAGACTAGAATTAAGTTTAAAGGAGACTTCATCAAGAACCAACATAAGTTCGAAAACTCTTGAAAAGCACAGAGCACTGGACATAGAAACTTCAGATATATTCACCAAAGACCCATTCCAAAATCTTCGTATTTCAAGGTGGGTCTAATATCACTCCGTTGTTACTGTCAGAACTGTTCCTTACACCTGACTTAGTGAACCCAACCCAAGTTCTTCGTTGACTGGTTATCTCATTTATTTTACACGAGCTCCAGTTTGGCAGTAACAGTGAGTGTGTTAAATATAAAACAAATTTTATTTCATTCAGCTGACGAAATTAGAAATTTATGAGTCTCATAGTTTGCTTTCTTCTTATCGAGACATTGGAAAGATTCCAGTGAATAAGACCTGTTTAGGCTGAATTAATCAAAATGAAGTAATCGATCGTATACCTAACACATTTTTTATGCACTTAACGTATTTGTATTCAGTGGAGAACTGTTTTTCTAGTCGTGAGTATCGTGGGGAATTCTGTTTCCCCTACTTATATTGTCTCCAGTCATCCAGTCAGTTGCCGTTATTAGTTACGGGATTTCATCATGAGCTCATATCGGTTAGAAAATCATTGGAAAACCAACCAGGGAGTACTGGACAACTGTTTCGTCAGCCTAGTTTGGGGCTTTTCAGCGGTACGCACCCACAGGGGTTTGAACCTATGAAATTCTGGTTACAAAGCGAGCTCGTAGACCATTAAGCCACTGGGATCTGATCCAATGACCAGCTCATAAGTTCCAACTTCTGCCAATTCACGATATCGTGTGGCCACTAGCCAATGTCATTGGAGGCGAGTATTTGTCCTCACGCCCAACCTGCTGTACTCAACTGGTCACGACTTCCCACTAGAACCCTATTATTGTCATTGTCGTTATTATTAACAGTAATAAAGAGTGTCCCTCTTATTCACAAAGAAATAATACTGAAAGGTGACAAGAACTTAGAGTACAGTGAATTTCTAAATGATTATTTTCTAATCAAGTGGGGTTGTGTATTCAGCGGACACGGTCACATAATTGACTTTTCAAGAGTCAGTTTACAGGGAATTAATTTCTTTCAAATTTCACCACAGATTAATGTCAGTTAGACAACTATTAAAAACCTACAGGTACTTGGCAGCTGTTTCGTCACAGATTAAGTATATTCTGAAGTATGCATCAATAGCCTCACCGCAGGAATTGATTACTCAGTAGGCCCGTAGAAAATTAAACCACTGGGACGGGATCCAATGACCAACGAATTCCAAATCCTGTCAATTCGCGATTTTTAACGCAACCACCAGCCAATGTCATCGATGAGTATTTGTCCTCACACTCGACCTGGTGAACGCCGCTGGTCACAACTTCTCACTAGAACTCCATAAAACTTTGTCCTTTAGCCAGTCACTGATGGGCATGAAATTAGCTTTGAAGAGTCAGCGGCTGAGTGGTATACTAGACTGCCTCGTAGTCCAGAGGTCCTGGGTCCGATTTCAAGGGCTTGAAATTATGTCTAGAAAGTAATTATTTTACATTTAAAGGGAGTTTATATAGACAGACAAATGGTGTTGCTATGAGTTCACTAGTCTCCCCACTAGTCGCTGAGCTTTTCATGAATAGATTTGAAGACGACATCTTTTCAAACATGCTCACTCCTAAAATATGGTTAAGATATGTAGATGATACTTTCGTAGTGCTAAAACGAGATCTACACAATTAATTCCTAAAGAAAATAAACTGTGTATCTCCCAGAATCCAGATTACTTCGGAAGCAGAATAAGACGTCGTTGAACTACCATTTCTAGACCGCCTGCCTAGTTAAGAGGAGGGAAAACGAATATTTTAGTATATCTATATTCTGGAAGAAAACCCACTCCAATAAATATATAGACTTCAGATCATCACACCCCATCAGCGAAAGGGTATCAACTGCTTCAAGTCTTCTTAAAGAAGCACACTCTCTGATGTTAAAGGTTTAAAAAGAGAAAGAAGAAGAAATTTCAAACATTACTGAAACTCTCAAGCAAAACAACTACCCAAGGAACTTCATAAACAAAAATCAACACTGATATTAAGTATGGTCGAAAACGTATTCCGAAAACATGGACCTAAACAGTTGTCATTCCATATACAGCAGAGACGTTAGACGATATCAGAAGAGTACTCAATAAGCTCGACATCAGAGTTTTCTTCAAAACATCAGACACGCACACTACAAATCAACCTTGTCCATATAAAAGACCGAATCCCTAAAGATTCTCTATCTAATTGTGTCTATAAAATGAAATGCTTGGAATGTGATGCGATATATATCGCACAAACATCACCAGAGAGAAATTAAGGGAATCAGAAGAAATGAACACCGCAGAGCCGCATCTGTTCGACCACCGAGAAATCCAGTTGAACTAGGAAAGCTTGAGAAATCATCAGTCACAGGTGGTCTACACGCTATAGAAACAAACCACAAAATTGATTTTGACAATATTGAAATAATCAAGAGAAATTTCAGAAATCACAAAGAACATCTGATATCAATCAGAAGCACTTCATATCAAGTGGAATCTCTATTGTCATATGAACAGGAATGATGAACTGAAACAGAATTTGACCGGGTTATAACACCTCCCTCCCCCATGAAGTGACAAAATAAAAACGAATGTGATATGCAAGTTCACTATGTAAAAACCCACACTGCTTTTATAATTTTACATATTTACCAAATCCAACAGTCTACACTTGGTTTTGTTATCTTTACCAATTGACCAACTTGACAACGAAAAATGACCCCAGACTGATGAACGACGATCAAGTTAGTAAACTTTGTGTGATATCATAACAGATATTCTGTTACCTTTGTTATTTGGTTTAGTGATCTTCATTGTTATTTTGACTTTCAATATGTCATTTTAACTTTTCCTAAGTCTATTTTCTCACCTCTAAACTGTTTGTTATAAATATGCTGAGATTTTGTAAACTCCGGTTCAATAATACTTTGACAAAGCTGTTAGCACCATTAAATAGCGAAATGTCAGTGAGAACAACAATATCGTTTTGTTTTTCATTCATTGGGAAATACAAAAAACATTTATTATAATCAATATCGTATACCCAATGCCCAAATTTTTTCAAACTGTTAAAGGTGAACTTGGTTTGGACATATATAACTTACACTTGAAAATTACATGGAAGATTTCATGATGAGCTGACATCAGTTAAAGAACCACTGGAAAACCTAGGAGTACTGGACAGCTGTTTCACCCTAGTTTGGGGCTCTTCAGTAAAATTAACCTGACGCCTGCTAGTTACTGGCTACAGGATGAAGTTGCCTGAATATCTAGTTCTAGTGAGAAGTCGTCACCAGTGGGATCCGTCAGGTTAGGTGCAAGGACAAATACACCCTGAGGATATTGGCTGGCGGTTACGCTAATATAGCGAATGGATATATAAGTAATAATTACATTTGTTACATTTCAGTTTAATGTGATTTTAAGTTTTGCGCCTTTTGCATAAATCACTATTTCATTCAACTGCCATATTCATTACAATACTTCTAAATCTGTCTGTCTACTCTGCCCCCCCCCCAGCCGTCACCCAAGGAAAGCAAATTTATCTCAGATTATGTAACAAACAAACAAAATCTGTCTCCCTCTTTTATTGAAATGTATTTCGTTTTCATCACGCTAGTTGTCATTCTTAAAAGTAACCTTTAAATTTAATTATCATTATTATTATTATTATGTCATAATTTAATTTACTCTGCATACGAGTAAAATGCATCTAATATTCCGGATGTGAAAGTGGATGAGGAGAAAAACGAACTACTAGTGGAATAAGACTGGAAAATTATGATTAATATGAGATGTCTGTAGATGTTCACATTTCTGGTGTTTCACATTACGTTACTGGACTGACATGATACTTACTACTGATAGCGAGTGGCTGACCTGGATTGTTTGATCAACATTAATTAGTATGAAGAACCTTGTGAAGTGAGAATTCTATATGTATATAAACGGTAGTCTAGAACAATTTCCTGTCACGAACAATAGCAGAATACTCTACATCATACAATTTTATATCACTCAAGCAGATTTAACAAAATTATAACTAGAGAGATATTTATTTGTATAGTCATTTATAGAAGAAGATAGAGATTATCTGAAAAATATTGGGATATATATGTGTGTACAATACAGTTTAGTGCATTTCGAACAACAATCTGATCACACATATCTCTACTTGTCAAGTCAATTTATATGAAACAAATATAGGGCAATTAAAATAAACAAAGTGATAAGAGATTTAAGAATAAGGATTCTCTGTTTCTGTCTCTCTAACTTCCAATTGTTGTTTGTTGCCACTTCCCACATATCCGGTATAAGCGTTCCGTCAACACAGATGTGAAGTCAGTCAGTCACTTGTTTTATACGGGTCAGATATTTGCACTGTGCTTCATGGAAGGGATTTCCAACAAACCACTACAAACTTTTCTGAACAGCTACCACCTTCGCTGGCTGACTGGCTGGCTGGCTTTATACTGAAGATCAAATGGCCAGTCGGCTGGCTGGCCACAAAGAATTAGCAACAAGAAGAAACTCTGGCTGTCTGACAACAAACCAACAAGCAAGAGCCAACTGTTCAACAGAAGTAAAGGAGCTTGCCTTGCAACCGGAAGGTCCTGGGTTCGAACCCTGGCAATGGGTGCGCACTGCCGATGATTCCCAAACTAGGATGAAACAGCTGTCTACTACTCCCTGTGGCTGGTTTTCAATGGTTCTCTAACTGATATTAATCCATGATCAAACTCGTAAAGAAAATATAGGAGAAAATGGAGATGGATTGATCGGGCATACGTTGAGGAGGCAGCTGAATGGCATCGCGCTCAATGCAGGTCATCGTTCGAGTTGAAGCCTGACGGGAAGCGATGTGTGGGTCGTTAGTACGGGGATGACATGGAGGAAATCATGTGGATTGGGGGAGGAGATGAGAGGTTATGGACAATCGTGGCGCCAGTCAGTTGAAGAGGACAACAGAGAATAGGACGAAGTGGAGTTGCGTTGCTGAAGGCTTATGTTCCACTGGGAATCCAAGGGAGTAATACTTGTATAATGATAAGGCTAAGAAACATATGTCTTGGTGACTGAATACAAATGAAATAGGCACACGGTGTCATATACATATACATATATACTCACGGATACTGAAAATAAGTAATAAAAATACATATGGATCGCAAACAATAACAACAACAACAGTAGCGACAAAAAGTACACCGACAAACAGATGATAACAATAGTTACTGATAAAAATTAATGATAGTTATAATATCTGATCCCCGCTCCCTCCCCTCCCCCCAACTCTATACACCTTATTTTCCAAAAGAGATCCCTATTCTCTTCCCTCTAGCCTTCAGCCTACCAGCCTCCGTCAATTGGAACTTACCTGATAAGCATTATTGAATCCTGGATGATCTAAATCATGACAGATGGCCGACATAATCAAAGTGAGTTGATCATCGATATCGAGTAGTTTGGTAAGTTTTCCACCCCAGAGTAGAACGTAACACTAGAATGTGAAAAAAAAACACAAGCAAGCAAACACATATATAATAATGTATATCAATGAGTATATGAATGTAGACACAAATACGAAGAAAGAAAAACACGTTGTAGACAGAGAGATATAAGGCGAAAGCAATACGCGTAACTGGAAGTTGATATTTTTTTCTTCAAGGAATAGATAAACTGAGGAAGAAGATGAAGCTATCTTATTTGTTATCAGACAAGAAAAAAACAGCAGGGATGAGTAGTATTCACAAGATAAGTGAATAAAAAGCAGTCAAGTTTTTGTGATTTTCATTTTTTATTAATTATAGTTAACATAAATTGGTGGATATTGACTAGCAATGGAATCAAGGATGCGCATTTCGTCCTATCTGGGACTCGTCATTTGGATGTACCTCCATTCCGCAGTGAGTGATGATGTCCTCAGCGACGCTCAAACCCAGTGGCCATAGTTTCAAACGCCAAAGCGTTATCCACTAGACCACTTGGGCCATGAGAGGTACATCTAGATGACGAGTCCAAAATAGGACGAAATGCGCGTTGTCCTGGATTCCACTGCTGGTCACCATCCACCAATTAAATGCTGATTACATGCCCAGACATCGTAGAATCATCTGCACAAGAAGCCGACATGTCAACCTGAGACCAAGTACTTCGGTCCAATCAACTGATAAGAAAATCTAAAATTCAATTAAATTATGGTGAACGTCAAGATATTCTTTAGCTTGACTTTCCTCACAAAATATATGAGTCCACATCCCAAGATTTCATATTGTCAGCGTGTGCTTTACAATCTGTGTAACCTTATTGTTGAAAGCAGGTTCTACCTCATGAAATTTGAGGAAATCAATCCGTCAGTATGTTGATCTTCTTCCTTTACTAAAGCGCTTTGATTTCAGCAACTCTTCTTATTATAAACTTGAAGAAAGTAAGAACAACAAATAAACTAGGATGACATGAGCTCGCCGTTTGTTTTTATTATTTCGAAGATTCTTCTCAACCGACTACAGCCTGAACAATCTGAACATGTATCGAATAGCCTGCGTCTCAAGAGGACTAACGATTACAGAAGTGTCATTAACACGCATCTCCTTGACACGCGTCATGAGGTGGAAATCACTAATTCCTTTAAAATTATCAGTAGAAAAATAAAGCTCAAGTTCTCCTCACGTTTGTCAAAGCAATCTATATTAGACGCCTGAAACCAGATTTATGTGTTCAGAAATAATAAATGAAATAGATGAGACCTTAATTGATATCCACTGTACAGAATATATACAATCATTTGTAAACATTTAGAAAAGCATTACAAGTTGAAAGGCTATTCAGAAACATAGAAATAAATGTATCTCAACACTAGTTCACTCACAACCTTATGTGTTCGAATAACTTAGCAGGATACTTTAGGCAGTCCAGCCATCGCACCCCACTTCTCTGTTTCTCTTATTGCCTACACTACACATTATTGGTGTCACTTAGGGTTTGACAGTGTCACTAGGCTCAGTGGTAGAATGCTCCTCAACCACTCATTCAGGTACTCTGGGGTTTGATTCTCGGCTAGTGGACTCCTTTACCTCTCTCAGCCAGTTGTAGGGCCAATAAGGAGGGAAGTCTTGGTAAGACAATTTAGCTTATCTTCGTAAGAACCATAATTATATCTGACAGTAAGATTTGTTAAGACTTGCCTTTTTTATTCCTTTATGCTCCAAGTAGAACATAGAGCTTCAAGGTTGACCTTCTAAAGTTTCAGTGACAGTGGGATTGTTTACGGGAAGATCTGCTAGCCTTACACCCAAACTGCCCTCTTTATCAGTCTTATTTCTGGCTCAGTGAGAGTTAGGAGTGCGTCGTCCGGGGATCGAACGCCGAGCCACCGCTGTGGTTGGCGAGCATCCTACTTCTGTGCCACTAATGCACATCTAATCGGTTTAATAATTTAAAATAAACTAATGAACAATAAATATGCGAATACATCAGGCAATAATGAATTCAATGCATAAATAAGAATGCTGAAATAGTTTTCTACTTACCATTTGTGTAACCATAAATGCGTGTTTATAATTATGAAATGGTATACGATTATATCTTCGATAAATATCACTTAGCCATAGATCTAAACGATGATATTGTAATTTATAATGATCAATAAATCCAAGTTCTTTGAACATTTCACGTACTAAACGCATTAATTGTGCATCTGTCCTTGACCAATTATTAAATGTAGATGAGCGTAATTCAAGTAAATCTTCTTGAGAAACAGGTTCTTTACTAAATAGAAAATGTACAGTGATAAGGTGGGATAATTATGACAATGACAAATAAGCACAATATAAAAATGAGTATTTTTTAATGAGAAATTGTAAACTGTGGATGAAGTTTACACAGCCAACTAAAGCAGTAAATAAAATGATGAATAATTTTAACTGTAATTAAACTGGTGTCACAGTTCATACCCATCGGGTTCGAATCCAGTACCTTCTTGTTACAAGGTGAACTCACTGACCATCCAAGCACTGGGACCGGACGCAATGGGCCATAAATTCCGACTTCTGCCAAGTCGGGATATTTGATGCAACCTCCAGACGACGTCAGCTGCGAGTAACTGTTGTCTTACCTGACCTGGAGCACCACTCCCCCTATGATATTAGCTTGAGGTTGCGGTATTATAAGAAGTTGTAATCCATGGGCCGTTGGATTGGGTCTCAGTGGTGAAACGGTCTAAAAGCTCACCATGTAACCTAAAGGTCCTGGGTTCTAACTCTGGCGGAAGGTGCGTACTGATGATAAGTCCTAGAAAAGGGAGGGCAAAACAATTGTCCACTACTCCCTGCTTGTTTTCCAATGGTTCTCTAAGTGGCATCAGCTAGTGACCAGTCCTGTAGGTAATCAGATCTCTGTAAACCAACACATGGGAATGTTTTTGAGAAGATTATCACGTCATCTAGTTTGTAGTCTTTGAGGCATGTTCTTGTTCGAACAGTGTTAGAAAAACAAGCATAGTAAGGTAAAATGGAGTCGGTCGGTCTGTCGGTCGGGTTTTCGACATAGAACTTTGCACATATGTGCGGCAGTTCAAGTCGCCACACTCCATGTAGCACACAAAGAAAGAGAAGAAAGTAGGAGAAATGCATAGTATAGACAGTAAACAGAGGTGTGAGACAAAGGAATAGTAATAACGAAGAACAAAACAGTTTCATTGGAAATCATAAGTCACAAGGAGTGGGTGCATCTGCGCCAACCATTGACAACGATTTTGAGCCATGTCACCAATTGTTTCCAGCCATTGGCTTTTACCGTCATCTCGAGGACCCCAACCAGGAAGTCTACATCTTCCTACGTGGCTTAGAGTAACTGTTGTAGATTTCATTGACTGGTGCTATGTTTTCGTTTGACCGCCTCTAGCTCTTTTCCAGCCTGGCCCTATATCAGCTAACATTGCCCGTCGAGGAAGGCGATGACTAGGCATACGTAGCACATGTCCTAACCATCTCAGTCGATATAATTTCACCGTTTCGTCGATTGATTTCCCCGCCTTACCTAGCACTCGACGCCTAACCTCATGGACAGTTATGAATTTATTACTAGCTAGACAACAATAAAACATGTGGGTTATAAAGACTAAATGTACTTTTATCATGGTAAACAAAAAACATTTTTATCATATTAATCTCATGACAGACTTCATCACAGACCATTGGTCACAACTAAATGAAAACAGGTTTTCTTAACTTTTGATAAATTATCACATGTAGTGTACACACAGTGGAATTTGAGGACAGCCGTTTGCCGATAACTTTAAGCAGGAGTCTTGTAAAATGGTAGATGGAAAGGAATTAGAGTTCACGAGTCATGTGGTCACAGCAAAGCAACTCAGTGATGATAGTATAATGCAAGAATAATGGCTTCTATTACCTGCAAGGAAATCAAAACGAGAATGAAGTAGCTGTCCAGGACCCATTGGTTTCTGAAAGTTTCCTGCATGATGTCGGTATATGAGGGTATCACCCTTGATCATAAATCATGAAAACAATAACGGCCATTAAGTGCGTGCGTTAGTGGTTCACTGGTAGAATACTCGTCAACTATGCCTCACGTGGTCTGCGGTTCGATTCCCAACCGATGCAGTTCTAAAGCTTGCTTAGCAGGCAGGTAAAGAGGGAAGGTGGAACATGAGGCTAGCAATCCCATGTCGTAAAAAATAAACACCACTGATAGTGGAACTTCCGAACTCACGTTTGACGTCCTATTTTGAAGTGGGGAAGCGAAAGATTTTAAAAAGGTCTATGACAGGAAAACTAACTGTTTTTTTAAAATGAGCAGAGAAAGGTATAGTTATTAAGTTAGCGTAGTCAAATATGTTTCTACAAGCGTTACAATTTTAGAGATGCTGGATTATTTTAAAAACGAAAAGTGACGTAATCAAAACGTTTTGTTCCTAGATTTTTCTAAATACTGAAGTTTTAGTGTTTCAGGTAGAAAAATTTGGAAATTTTTTTTTACAGTTTTCTTGTCATAGTCAAAAATTCTTTTTCCCTGTTTGTTTCAATTTGTTCTTTTCTTACGTAGTATTAAATTTATGTCTGTTTTTATGCTCACTATTATCAGAATTCACTCATAAATAGTCTATTATATTACGCGATAACGCGTGCTTCGGTGGTTCGGCGGTAGAGCGCTCCCCAACCATGCAAGTGTTTCGGGGTCCGATCCCCGGCTGGCGCACACCATTTAACTCACTTAGCCGACTGTGCACCCACCAAACAGGGGAGATTGGGCTTGAGGCTAGCAACCCCAACCCCGTAAAGTTCTCACTGCCACTGAAACTTCGAAGGTCAGGTTTGAAACCCTATGTTCCATTTGAGACGAAATGTAATCAATGAAATTACGCAAGACATTGAGGATAAGTAGGAGATAGTAAGACTGCAATGAATATTGGTATTGCTATACAACAAATAAACTATTTGCAAAATCCATGTCAGCTGAAATGACAGGCACTAGAATGAAGTTAAAGTATGAAAAATAAACTACAAGAAGTATTCTCAGACGATTTCTTCTTCTGTATTCCTTTACAATCCGAGTGGAACGAAGTACTTCAGCCTAGAGACTTGAAGATTCCGTAGCAGGGGTATTTATTTTTACGGGATGGAGTTGCTAGCCTCATGCCCAACCCTCTCTCTTTACCAGTCTTGTTACTGGCTTAGCGAGGTAGAGGAATGAGTCGGTGGCCGGGGATCAAACCACGGACCACATGAGGCGTGGTTGGCGAGCATTCTGCTGCTATGCCACCAACGCGTCAGGCAGTTTCAGTAATTCCCATTCATACATTTAGAAAAAACAACAGATTGAGCAAAGAAGTCATATGCATTCCTTTTCAATTAGCCGTTCCTCATCATCGGCTGGCTGGCTCTACACTAATATATAGTTTTTGAAATCTAAATCGTTTTACCAATCAAGTCGTTATTTTGGTTAATCAGTTGTAGGTACATGTGGGAGGGTGAAATAAAGAGGCTAAATGCCATCAAGACAATTAACTAGTATATGTTAATAATTAGGTATCTAAGTTTTGAAGGAGGGAGGGGTGAAAATTAATTAATTGTGGAATTCAAGATAAGTCAACTCTTAGGCGTTAGCGAGAAGTTATTGCATAGTCAAAAAACTTGTAAAACAGCGATAATGACTAAGAAGAATAGGATGACTCAGAAGAATTACGTAAAACACAAGCAAGTTAATAGAATTGTCAACAGATGTAAAAAATAACAAAGTCAAAAGAGAGTTACAAGAGGAGGGGAGAAACAAAATCGTTTTTAAAACTTAATACATATTATATAGTCGGGCTTGGCAAACAAACGGGCTGTACAGATTTCTTTTGAATACACAGATTTGGCTTGTTCAGGTCAATTCCGATTACCTTTATTTGTCATGGCAAACTGTATAATATGTATTAAGTTTCTCCGCTCTCCTTGTAACTGTCTTTTGACTTTGTTATTTTTTACACCTCTGGCTAATTCTATTAACCTGCTTGTGTTTTACGTAATTCTTCTGAGTCATCCTATTCTTCTTAGTCATCATCGCTGTTTTACAAGTTTTTTGACTATGTTATAACTTGTTGCTAACGCCTAAGAATCAACTTATCTTGAATTCCGTAATTCATTAATTTTCACCCCTCCCTCCTTCAAAACTTAGATACCTAATTATTAACATATACTAGTTAATTGTCTTGATGGCATTTAGCCTCTTTATTTCACCCTCCCACATGTACCTACAACTGATTAACCAAAATAACGACTTGATTGGTAAAACGATTTAGATTTCAAAAACTATATATTAGTGTAGAGCCAGCCAGCCGATGATGAGGAACGGCTAATTGAAAAGGAATGCATATGACTTCTTCGCTCGATCTGTTGTTTTTTTTCTAAATGTATGAATGGGAATTACTGCAACTGCTTGACGCGTTGGTGGGACAATGGTAGAATGCTCGCCAACCACGCCTCTATATACAGAAAGTGTAAAGTCCTCTGAATAATGTCACAGCCACTTGAGTTTCAATGATTTCCACCTTTAAATGGACATGTGATTTAAGATCTTTGCGAAAACAAGTTGGCAGATTCATACACTTATTCTCCTTTCTGAATTTGAATAATGCAAGTGCAATGATTTGTGGCGAATAAAATGGTACCATTGTTTATTTCATCGACTTCTCGTCACCTGCGTACAGACTGAAGAAATCTGAAAGCTGATGTACAGAACAATTTCAACATAATTTCAGTTGACAGGAGAGACCAAAATAACAGACATTTAGAGCTTACACTTATGTAGCTTAAACACAAGAAGTTCAAATTTAAACGAGAAATAAATTCTCGGATACAATGTCCGACTTCTTTGCCTTCAAGGCCTCAGGATGGTCGGGAGTGGGTGCCTTGCGCTGCGGGTTGGCCACTCCTCCGCACACCTCTTGAAATGCTCCCATATGACCAGGCGTCTTACATAGCCTCTCTTGAGGAAGCCCTACTCACTGCCTTCACGTGGCGGAGGTGTTTTTCACCAAAGTGAGAGGGCAGAAGCGGATGCCCGGCGCTCTTCACCGGGTTGACTGTCCATTGGATGACAGTCTAGGGCAGATGGCTAAACCCTGATTCCAAACCTCCAACGACTGGCGTATGAAGCTCACTGGAGCTCACCGGCAGACGTATGGACGAAGGGCTTGTTGGATGTCCTGGATGTCTGGCCCCATTCAAAAAGGCGTATGAACCGAACTCCGGTCACCGGCTGCCAATGGATAGTGGACTCCCTACTCCACTCCTACTGCCTTGTAGGTCACACTTGGTTGTGTAAAGGCTAGAGCTGCACTCTCAAACAAAAGGCCGAGCGATTCTGGGGACATCACTCGTACCAAATTCCCATGAAACTTCATGAACTCTCTTACAAACGACTCTCACCATGCTACGGCGTTCCCGGTAAACGACGCGCCCTGTGCTCACCCGGTGGCCAGTGTGAAAAGTAAGCCGCGCCTGGGCAGCGATTATTCGAGATGTTCATGAAGCCGGCTCATCCTCCCGTAGGAGACAGCCGAAGTAAAGTAAAAAAAAGTAAGTACTGCAGAAGCTATCACCATATGCATCGAAAAGCCGGGGCTGTATATTTAAAAGAAACTAGTCCAACCTCTACAACTACTGTAGACCTAGTTCGGTATGTTCCCTTATCCTTCTTTTTTTGTTCTCCCTGTGTGCGTATTTTTATCTCTTTGTCTTCATTCAATTCATCCCATCTTCTTTCAGTTATAAAATCAGTTATTTTAAGTTTGTTTCCATGCTCCTCCTGATCACACTTGTAATCCGTTTAGAATAACTATTTTACAGTTATATTCTAATCCTGTGTAATTTTAGTTTCTAAGCCTCTTGTAATCTATATTCACACGTCTTAACTTACATTTCAAGTTGAAAATTTTGTTTTCAATTTGTTTCCCTGCTCATTTTGTTCACATATGTAATTCCTTCTATCCCTGTGTAACTTTTGTCTCTAACCCTCTTGTAATTCATCTCAAGTTGAAAATAACTATCACCTTTTATTCGCCTTTAAAATTATTTCTCCAATTATCAAATATTGATTTTGCATACGTTGTAACTGTTTTCTAATCCTATGTAATCTTCCCTCTAAGCCCCTTGTATTCTATATTCGTACCTTCAATCTTTCACATCAAGTTGAAAATTATTATTTCCTTCGTTATTTTGTGCAATTAAATAAATAATAATAATTGTATCCATGTAAACTAATCTATATAAATGCGATTGTACAGCTGCTTTTGAGAATGAAATCACCGAAAAGATATCTGTGTCGCTGAACTTCTTGTTCTTTACCCTCTAATGTCCCGACGGGTATTTTCCACAATTTGAAAAAATGTCAAAATAGTTACGTAATAAAGAGAAGAGGTGCATAAGATGAAGCGTAACAAACCATTTGAGTAACAATGTGGTGATCTGAAGTCAAATCATAGGGAAAAGAGAAAAGCAAAGTTAAGTTGTGGCGAGGGAGGAAGAGAATAAGGGAAAGATTACATATTCAAATAAAGAAGACAGTGAAGGGGCATGGTTATGAGGGCAAGAAAAGACTGATAATTGCTACTTTCCGAACACACAAATCGGGTTTCAGACGTTTGATAGTGATTTCTTTGGCAAACTAGAGAAGAATTACACTACCTTTTCTGTCGGTAATAATTAAACGTCTAAAATCGGACTAAAGCGTTCAGAAAGTAGCGATTATCAGTCTTTTCTTGCCTTTGTTGGGTCGGAATCTTTTGATGGTAATGGCTTCTGAGAACCAAAGTAGACATGCTCGTCTTTGTATATTGATTATTGTGAAAGCCTGACTAATTTCCACCGTATGTCCTCTGTCAGTTAGGTGGCTGGTAATGTGCTCGAAAACTCTAGGAGACGCTCCCTTCTCAGTCTTTCGATAAGGTTCTTTCCGATGACTGCAAGTTCTTCTTGGATCTTATCTTCTGAACACAATGCCATAGCTCTCCTGTAGGGCTTTTTCACAGAGCTCCATTTGTAGCTGACCAAGCAAAAGCTGTAATAAAACAATTGTTCACTAGTCCAGATTTATCTCCTGTAGACGGATTCCTTAGTCTTCCCATCATTTCTTGTTTTTATGTTGATGTCTAGGAAGCGGAACTGATTGTCATATTCATGATTTATTGTTAACTGTATGTGAGGGTGAGCGGCATTGAGGTTTTCGAAAATCGTGGATGCGTGATCCATACTGTGATGAACGTCACACTACTCTGGTAACCGTAATTTCTTTGTTCGAGGACTTTTGTGTTTTGTTCTGTTGCGTAACATCCCACTCAATTTTGAATTTAATTTTCATTTACTGACTTGGAACTAACTATTAAGTTCTCAAATCTGCTAAATTATTTTGACTATCTTATTATCTTACTTCACTATTCATCTCCACCCTCCTGAACTCTCCATCATGAGATGTTTAGATTCACTGTGTTGTTCTATCTTGTATTTTTGTCTCTAGTCTATCCTTGTTTCCAAGTGAAATCTGAACTTTACCCCCTTGTTTAATTACTGTATAAATGGTTACTCTTTTAACACTAAGTAATTGTCTACTTACATCATCTTTAAAATTATATTGTCTTTAGTTTCTATCTATAACTTGAAGTCTTTATAAAAATATGTTCAGGAAAATTCTGAAGTTTATAAGTGATTTATTTAGAATGTATGCAGTTGAAGAGAATCCAGGCAATAACATGAGCTCGTATTATCCTGTAAATATGTTCGTTCTTTCTTTATTCAAAATATAAAAACTGTTTCAACCAATGAATTGTCGTAATTTTATAGGGCTGAATGTATTATGCCCATTTAACGAGGTGATGGTGAGTCTTTTGGACTAAATATACCAGTATGATAATTCCCATATTATCAAAAGTAGAAATAAAAAACACGTTCAAATAAGAAGTAAGGCATACAGACCCACACAAACTAAACATTTATCATGAACTGACATAGGTTAGAGAACCATTGGAAAACCTGAGAGTAGTGGACAGCTGTTTCGTCAGTCTAGTTAGAGACCCTTCAGTAGTACGCACCCATTGATGAAATTCTGAATTCAGTAAAATCCCTGAATAAAACATTGACACAGTTCAACAAAGATTTTAAAGCGACTAACCATAAACGCCTAAATTCTTGAATATTCCTTCGACTATCTGCATCTGACCGACGTATCAAATGCATTTGTGGATTTGGAGCTGGTGCATTTGATCCAGGGACCAGAACTCTATTCGTAGGAGGTTCAGATGTCAACCCAAGCCAACTCAAGTATGAAAAGGACTGAAAAAGAAATAAAAGACAATACAAGCAACGAGAAATAATAATAACAGCTTTATTCAGAACAGAAATGTCTACACTATGTAGAAAATTCTCGGCATAATTTATTATTATTATTGTATCCTTTAATTCCTAGAGGAACATAGGGCTTCAGCCGTGCGTCTTCATTGCGTTCGGTTCTCTGCTACAGTCTTCACCTGGCTCCATGTCTGCCCACACGTTTTCATCTCTTCTTCACATGACCTCCTCCAAGTCACCCACCCTCGCACTGACGACCAACTCGCCGCTTCCCTTTCGGGTTCCATTCGAGCAATGGCTTGTCTAGTAATGTCACTTGATGGTTTCCTTAGAGTATGGCCAATCCATCTCCATTTCTTCCTGCCTATTTGTTTCACAATCGGTTCCTGGTTGGTTTGCTCCCAGAGATCCCTCCCTGTTGCTGATCTTTTCTGGCTGGCCATCTGATCTTGAGTATTGAGCAAAGACAACTTTTAACGAAGATCTATAGTTTGCTTGAGATGCTCTTTATGACGCGCAGTGCAAGTCTCTGATCCGTATAGTAGCACTGATTTCACATTGGAGTTGAAAATCCGGATCTTATTTAGATGCTGAGTGTTGTTGACTTCCACACAGACTTGACAGTAGTGAAAGCTTGTCTTGCTTTCTTGATCCTTGCTTTGATATCCTCGTCAGTTCCGCCTGTAGTTGAAACGATGCTTCCCAGGTAGTTAGGTGAAGGAGGTTGTTTCTTTCAGGTTCCTCCCATTTATGCTGATTGTTGTCAGTTGTTGTTGTTGCTGTTGGTGGTGTTGCCCAGGAATCTTCATCACCTCTGTTTTCTCTACGTTCACCTGAAAGAAGTCCTATCTTTGATGCTTCTTCTGCTAACTTGTTGCTTTTCGCTTGCATGTCTTCCAGTTTGTGGGAAATCAGACATATATCATCGGCGAAGTCCAGATCCTCCAAGTGTTTTGCGTGTGTCCATTTTATGCCTGTTTCTTCATTGCCCGCTGTTTGTCGCATTATCCAGTCTACTGCAATCAAGAAAATCATTGGCGATAGTAGGCAGCCTTGTCTTACTCCTCGGCATAATTTACTGCATAATATTTTCTCTTCATCCAGGATTTTGAAGTAAAACTGTGTGATCTATGGTATATCTCGTGACGTAATACATTTCGGTCTGAAGTAAAAACACTAATCTCTTATGATATTTTCCCTTCATCTTTAATAATAATGAACACCGGTAGTTTAAAAGCCAAATAAAAATTTCTCATGAGTACGCTTTTTGACTCGAGAAGGTAACGAGGTGTTTAAAACAGTAGGAATTTTAAAAAAAACATATAATGCGACTTTTTAATTCGTGAAAAATTCTTCTGTGGAACATAGTGAGTGTCAAAACAAGTGATTCAGTGAAGAGTCTTCTTTCAATGAAAAAAATTGCAAATAAAAATCTTCTCAATGGTCTCAGAGTTTGATGATGGTAACATTAATGTCAACAAGCTTCATACACACGTCCAGTTTTCAAAATCTAGTAAACCAAACAAACGATCTCATATGGTGATCTGATCAAGATTTCCAATGTTTCAAATCTCACTTGCACTGATTTTTGCAATCAGTACCTTTGTGGTGAGAGCTTTCTGCTAGCCAAAATTAGTAGACAGCAATTTACGTCAATGTTTACGTCCCAAATCTTGGTCCTGAGAAAAGAACAAGAACAAAGACTAACTCAACAACCAATCGGTCTGTCGGTCGGTCGGTTTTCGACATAGAACTTTGCACATATGTGCGGCAGTTCAAGTCGCCACACTCCATGTAGCACACAAAGCAAGAGAAGAAAGTAGAAGAAATGCATAATATAGACAGTAAACAGAGGTGTGAGACAAAAGGAATAGTAATAACGGAGAACAAAACAGTTTCATTGGAAATCATAAGTCACAAGGAGTGGATGCATCTGCGCCACTGAGAAAGACTTCGAGCCATGTCACCAATCGTTTCTAACCATTGGTTTTTACCGTCCCGAGGACCCCAACCAGTAAGTCAACAACCAATAACAGCAGACTTAGCCTGGCTGGATAGGATTCGCAGATAGATGGTCTGACCTTCAAAGAAACGGCCACAAATAGATGACAGAATAACTTTCAGCAAGAAAACAACCAATCAGAAGACGCCGCTTCTCTGCTGATAAAGACGAATAATAATGTGCATAGAAATCTATAAATATCTGTTGATTTCCTCAATAAACGATCTGTTGCCTAGCCCTTGTCTTCTGTCGTTACAATGGGTGTCGCTGCCTCCGAACAGTGAAGATCCCATGGCCCTTGTCTTCTGTCGTTACACCTTAACGCCAAACTGAAGCAGCGCAAATAAGAGCTTGCACAATGAAAATTTACTATTAACTCGTCGTGACAAGGGTGCAGGTGTTGCCATCATGGCTCATAAAGATTCCATTAATAAAATGTCACATCTACTCTCTGATAGCAGTAAATTCTGAGGAACTTCTAATGAGAGAAACAAAGCTGAATCAATCAAAAAGCAACTTACAGAAGCTTTGAAAAGAATGAAGAATAATGATTTGATTCATGGAGAACCTCATGAAAGGATTAAACAAACAGGGTCTACCAAAGATACACAAAACCGGTCCACCACTTAGCCCTATTCTGGATATGTTTGGATCCCCTTACCATCCTGTAGTTAAGAGGTAAGTTGAAATCTTTGAACCCGTTCATCCCCGTTGTGACACCTTCCAATTTTGCCGTCGAATGTATACAGAATAAAAATGCTTTGAACAAACATGTTTTATCTTTGGCTTTCACCTTACGTGAAGAAACATAATTATGAAGAAAATTCAATAAGAACTAACGCTTTAGAAGGGAAATGAGAGAAGAAAGCTTCTTCATACATGTCAGACAGTGAAACTGGAGTTATCATAGCATGGTAAAGTCAAGAAAATTTGACAGTCTCCCCCTGTTCTTTACAACAGAATAATAACAGCTTTATCTTGCGAAAAATATTTAGACATAGTATAGCATTCTCAGAGTATCTTCTTGAAAAATGTTTCCTTTTCATAAAAGATCTTCAAATAAATTAGAAATGGCAAAAGGCTGATGCATTGTAGTGGGTAAAAACTTAGGCAGCCCAGTGATTTCAATAGGTAGCCATGACAAACAAATTCAAGTCCCATTAACCACAGAATATCCTTGAGTGGAATTTTAATAGTAAGCGATGTTTTAGAAGATTTATGGTATCATGGAGGACACTATATAAGGAAGGAGTGAAGGCACGCAAGCAGTCGTAGATCCAGATGAAAGTGATGGCAATAAAACAAATGTTTCATAGATTAACCGCCGAGTTCCTGTGATTTATTTTGCACCCAAAGAATGGGTCATTATTATTACAGCCACATGTAGACTGATACCGGCGTATTTTACTACCATTGAGGTACCACGTTCAAAGTATGTTAGACGGTCGGAGGCGATCAGCTGGAAGCTTTGAACCTGGGTGTCCTGCTTTTTGCCACTCATTATTATGGCATGTCTTCAGCCTTGAAAAAACTAATATCCCTACGGACATTCCAAATTAATAAGACCAGTTGCACAAGAGGTGGCTTTCGTGGTCGAAGTGGTCTAGTGGATAACGCTTTGGCGTTTGAGACTATGGGCACTGGGTTCAAGCCTCGGTGGGAACATCATCACTCACTGAGAAATGCACGTACATCCAGGTGACGAGTCCCAAACAGGACGAAATGTGCATCCTGGATTCCACTGCTAGTCACCACACACCAATTGAATACTAATTACATGCCCAGACATCGTCGAAGCATCTTCACAAGAAGCCGACATGTCAACCTGAGACCAAGCACTTCGGTCTAATCAACCAACGGGAATATCTAAAATTCAATTCAATATCGAAATTCTTGAATTTAAAATAATAAACTAGACCTATCATCTGTGTTGAATTCATGAGTAAAACTAAATACTACTTACTATTTGAGACGAGTAGTAGGATACCACTCAAATCAACTAGTAGTGTTTACTAGCCAGCCAGATTGAAGTTATTTAAACACTTGACCGTGGTCTGGCTCGTTTAGCGCCAGGCTAATGAGTATGGTGCACACCCAGTGTGACTCAGCTAAGAGAGCTGAATCAGTTCAAATCACCTGATTCCTGGCTAGCACTTTGAGTGAAATGGTAACACCTTAGTTCAAATTAGCAATTTGAAAATTTGACTAACAACACTCGTCTTAATTCCCATCATATTATATTTACTGATAATACTAATAGTGCTTCCTCTGTGTTTCACTCAAGTCTTAAACTGATTTGATTCAAATATCTAATCATCTATTTTTACTCATGTATATAAATGAAGCAGGAAAGTTGTGTCAGTAACTTGATATGATTACGGGCAGCAATAAATTTTGCTGAAAACCTGGTCATCAGTAAATATTACTATGCGACATTGTGTGATTTTATCAAAATAAAATTTCTATCCATAATGCTATTATCATTTGATTATATGACGAAATCAATACTATCTGAAATAACAACAGTATTAATTAATAAATATTCTTATTTTATTTTCCAAATTTTTAAATATATGGATTTAAATGTGACTACAGCTACAGAAAGCACGGATGAGGATGTTGAAACCAGCCAAAATCGGAAAGGTAAAGGAGACCTTCACCACTCTGAAATCGATCTGGAAATCTTCTACACTCAGCATCAGCACAAAAGATAAAATTCGGATTATCGACATTACTATTAGGTCAGCCATTGCTTCCATACCGGTCAGAAACGTGGCATGCGCGACACGAAGAGCATTTCCAACAGTCCCTTGCAGACTTTTACTAACAGTTGCCTTCACTAGCTCCATAATGAAGATCAAATGGCCAGACAGAAAGAATGAGCAAAGCCACATTCTAGGAACAAACCAGTCAAGAAAGTATTGTCCAACAAATATTCCGAAGAAGATGCGGATGGATGGGACACACGCTTATGAGACCATTCGCTCCAGCGAAACTCAAATAGGAAATGGTGATTTCGGCGTTGGTCCTAGGTTGACATGGAGGAGATGAACACCTACGGGGAATCGTTGGGCCAGCTGCAGAGGACAGGGAGAATTGGAGGTGTGTTGTTGAAGCCCTATGTTCTACTCGGAATCCAAGGGGATAATAAATAATGATACACTCTTAGTTAACAACTGGGAAACTAAGTAGACAGCTGGCTACTTGAGTGAAAATTATGCAATTCGAAGAGGTGGCATTTCATCAGAGTTTCTTTTGGAAACCAAAACAAAACAACAAATAAAAAATTGAATGTATAAACTATTCGGATAAAACTTGATCACAGTTCATATGAATTAAAACCGCAACATACCTCTATCTGACAACGTAGATTATGCAATTTTCTATAAATTGTAATAATTCTTTTCTCCTCATCAATATCATCTCCATTATGATTGATCATATTGTCTTTCATTAGACGATTCATAGAATAACAATTCGAGTGTTGATTAATGTCTTTCTTAATAATCATAAGTTTTCCACCTTCGTAGACTTGATTCACATCATTTGCTCTTTCTTCGTAGTCAATATCATCATCAACATGAAATGTGTTGATATCATTATGTGATGGTCGAATAACATCTTCATGATTTGGAGTTAGCGTGTTAAATGCATCCCATAGACGATTATTATTACTATTATTATTATTTCATTACTGTTATTATTATCATCGCTAACATCAGAATTACTGCTTGTAACAGTTTGACAACACTTTTCTTTAGTGTTATGAATATGATCATATAAATATTTCATGCTGTTGAATAACAGAAATAGTTAAGAACAAAAGAACAACTGGTCAAATAATGATAAATATGTTGATTTGCATTAATGATAATAAAAATAACAAATGAATAATACATATATATCACTCATTTACGCAGTACACAGATCTCATATACTATAAAATGAGTCGTATTCAACGCATGACAACTGCCTGGTGGATTTTAAAGACGATTCCATTACGTCAAATATAAACTTATCATTTTCAGCCAATCAAATTATCGCTCATTGTGGTGATAACTAACAGTATTACAGATAATGACTCATTTGGGTGCCAGAGTGTGACACCAGTTAGAAAGCCATTGGAAAACTAGGGAGTTCTGATGAAGAAATAGCTGCTTAACCCGGATTTGGGACTCTTCAGCAGCACGAACTCACAGGGTGTCCAAAACCAGGAACTTCCGAATACAAGGTGAGGTGGTAGATTATTCAGCCATTGATATATATGTATATTTAAGGTCAACTGAAACCTGTCTTGATGGATCCTGCTAGTCACTTAAGAGAACAGTTTCCCGTTAAAGTTGTGAATTAGCGGAAGTTGGGATTCAATGGCTAGCCATTAGATTGGGTGACATTGGCTGAATGGTCTATAGGCTCGGCTGCTTACCAAAACGTCTTGGGTTAGAATCCCAGTGTGTGCGTACTGTTGAAGCGTCCAAACGTGGGACGAAATAGCTATCCAGTACTATCAAAACCAATGTAAGAGTAGAATTTAGACATTATGGTAGAATATAGTCCTATTTGATATAATACTAACAACTGGATGACATTCCCAGCACTCATAATCATACTGGTGAATTTACATGACCTCCTAGCTTGCTTTATCTTCCCCATATCTTCTAGTAGACCAAGAATACAGACACGAAACCTCCCTTTATGATCAACTGTTTGACTACCGGTGACGTCAACATATAATCTATCCAAGTGACTTTTCAGAAGACTAAATTATGCAATAAAACTGTGCAATGACTGCATCAATTCGACAAGCCAGTTTTTAGGACAAAATTAAACAATATTCAAGTAGATGATAATGAAATCATGGTATCGTTTGATATCAAAGTATTACATAATTCTGTTGTGCGTCAGTGGCACAGCGGTGAGGACGTTCGCCGACCATGCAAATGGTCCGGGGATCGATCCCCGGCCACTGACGCCCTCCTTTACCTCGCTAAGCCAGAAATAATGCTGGTAAAGAGGAAAGGTTGGGAATGAGGCTAGCAACCCCATCCTGTAAAAATAAACACTGCTACAGAAACTTCAAGTCACTAGCTTGAAGCCCTGTGTTCCACTGGGAACGTGAAGGAAAATAAAATACTTCTATCCGACAAAAACTGCTAAAAGAAACTCTGAGATAGATACTATGTAATTATGAACGCACAAAAACACAATGCTCAAACTGGTTAGAGCTCATGAAATTATGTCTAACAAAATATTTTCAATTCAATAACGAAGTAAACGAAAAGGCTAAAGGACCACTAGTGGGATTACCCCTATCAAGACGAATAGCTGAAGCTGTTATCTAAAGACTAGAACTGATAGCCCTACCTATAATTAAACCAAAATTTGGATAGGTATGTTACGTTGATAATAATAATAACATCTTTATTCTGAACAGTATTTACAAAATATACTGAATTTTCAGAGGAGTTTATTATTGCATGATATTTTCCCTTCGTACAACATCTTCAAGTAAAATATTAATTGAGAGTATATCCTTCCTGTGACACAATGGTCTCTGAGCTGAAGCACAAACTATTCCATTAAGTGATATATCTGCTTTGTCTCCTTCCTTCAAGAAATCCACAATATCAAGTTGAAAGCCAATTGTGAGAAGTTCAGTAGTACATTTTGAGACCTAAGGACATAAGTGAAGAACAGTTATCTCATGTATTGATTGGAACACTTTGCCACCCACAATCAGACCTTTCCTCAAGTTTAGTAGGGACTTGCGAAACAAAAGCTTGTAAACATTTTAAATACACACAAGAGTAGATAATACCATTAGAGGTCATATCTTAATCGATTAAAACAAACTGAACGAGAGAAAATATATGCAATAGAGACAGAGGGAAGTTTTTGGTAGCCCAAGTTTTAAGCACACCACCAAAGGTACAAGATGATACATTCGTAATAATTAAGAGAAATATGATCTGGAATAAACCCACAAATCAATAAACAACATATTTGAAGACACACAAAATCCACAAAAGGAAAAGAATTAGATAGCGAAATTCCATTCTTGGATATCTTAATCAAGAGAATTAACACAGGGAATTTAGAAACACAAGTATACAGAAAACCAACGCACTCAGATCAAATACTCAATTATATCAGTAATAATCCAATGACTCACAAAAGAAACTGTGTACAAACTTTATTTAAAAGGAAGTCAATTGGTGGATGGGAACTAGCAGTGGATCCAAACTGGATTCCACTGCACGAGAACCACTGGAGAATTCATCTACATATTTCTGAAGTAACGGCTAGTGAACTAAAACCATTCGAAAGATTATTATAGTACACAAGCCATTACAATCACTTCATCCAATGCTACTATGAATATCAAAAGACTAAACACATAAAGAAGACACAATCGAATACCATCTACAAGCTACGCTGAATAGAGAGTGATAAACACACTACGTCGGTCAAAGTGGGCGTCGCTCTTCAGCATAAATAAACAGTGTACGCTTTCATATTTATGTATGCAGACAATTGTGGGCACCACTGTGACTGAGAAAATATAGAAATTTCAAACTGTGGGAATACAAAAGATGCCAGGGAATTTCTAGAAGCCTGGTAATCACGTGTATCAGACTCATTACTTAGTATTGATCAAATTTACCACCTAGTAAAGAAAAAGTCCCATGAAAAGAGAAAATTGAAATTTCAAGAGAATGACAAAACTGTTAATAAAGATATAAATTAATGGAGAAGATTTGTAGCTCAGGTGGGATGCTTTTGAATGAATTGTGTTCTCTGACCTGCTAGTTGATTTAATTGAGAAGCTTTCGTCGTCCTTCTGAACGTCATTCGATACTGTGCAAACCGAAAGACCCATCCAACAGAAAAAGAAGGTAAAATTAATACCAGTTACAAAATAAATTGCTGCTGAACAGTAACAGACATTACATTGATCAAAGTGGGCGTCCCCTTCGAATCAGAATCCAAGAACATAAACCGGCTATAAAAAGGCACGATGCAAATTCTTTTATATCAATGGCTGTAGATAATAACTCCATATTGGATAAGATTTTATTTTGATAAATCACACAGTGTTGTACAGTTATATTAACTGATGACGTTTCGAGCACAAACTATTGATCATAATCATATCAAGTTACTCACACAACTTCTTTCCTTCATTTATATACATGTGTGGAATCGATTAGATATTGGAATAAAATTCAGTATGAGATAATGTACATTCAGAAATAATAATACGAGTGTTATTAATCCATTACAATTAGATGGGAAATACGACGAGTGTTTTTATAGTCAAAATAAGTAACTTGTTAGAATGTTATGATGTATGTGAATTGAAATAGAATTTTAAGATTATTTATTATCCTCCTCTGATTTGACCGGCGGTAATAATATCTTCCATATTTCTGGTATTTGCACTGAGTCACTTCTGTTGCATGTGTTGGGTGTAGATTCAATGAACCAGGATTCAGTAATCAATCTCCCTCTCCACCTACCTATATTGCTTTTTAGAATTTTAACCCTATCCCACCATCCTATTGTGTGGTTGTTTGTTAATGCGTGAAGTGCAATAGCTGAGCTTTTTTCTAAATTACTTATCTTCTCGGGGTCAACCATTCTTCCCTTAGCTAAATTCTTATGTTCCAACAATCTGATAACCCCGATCTACTAGTTTGATCTATGTAGTTAACCTCACAGTCATTACAAGGTATTTTGTAAATTATATTATTTTGTTTAATTGGGTCCACCGGGTCTTTCAACCTACAAAGTTTGTCTCTCAGTGAGTTTGTGGGTTTGAATGCCACCCTAATTTCTGCTTTATTGAGAATCCTACGTAGGGTTATAGATGTCCCCACCTTATATAGATAGACTGTAGATAATTATGGACACCAATTTGATGATTGGGAAAATGTCGAAATTTTAAATAGGGGAAACACCAAAAGTGCCAGAGAATTTCTAGAAGCCTGATACGCAAGTGAATCAGCCAGCGATTAACAAACACATTATTATAGACTAAATTGTCTTCTCGCCTATTTATTCACCTATCAGGTGACTAAAATTATGACCGTACAACACTGAATATTATCAGAGCCACGGTTGTTGTTGTGTGCTGCTGCTGTTTTCTGCAGTCTGAAAAGTGGTGAATTCGATCAGTACAATGACACAGAAAAAAAAGAGAAGAGATTTTGTATTTTCTCTTCTTGGTTGAGAGAAGTATTTCCTCTGACTGCTGTCTTTTATCTGGGCTTATCATGATCTTTTTTCTCTTATTTACGTTGTAGTTTTGATTGGCTTATCATCAGTGGAATTGATGATCAGTCATAAAATTTTGTCGTGCTCCCCCCCCCCCACACACACACACACATTAAAACAATGTTACAATGAAATATGTTCCTCATTTTTTTTCTATTTATTTTTCTATTTTCTCGTTGATCATCTTTCAAACGGATACTTTAATCCCTTAATCTAATGAAGAATTTTTTAAAAAAAATAGAGGCAAATAATTTTACATAATAATATGACGAAAACAATAAGAAAGAGAGAAGACTGAAAACTATTCACTTTGAGATCAATAAGAATTAACGATGTGTGTTAATGTGATATCTATCAAAAGAATAAGGATGTTGTTTTAAGATAAGAAGATGTTTATCTACGTATATATGCATGTGCGTCAGCAATATGAACTAAGAATCTTCCCCAGTTTACTAGCTCGCTAGTTTTCTAGCCGATCCCAAGCCCGAGTAAAGAGGGAGGGTTGGGCGTGGGGAT